CGTTGTTCAGCATCTTAGCTGTAGAGGGCAGTGTCACTGGCCCTCATATGTGGGATCCGAACCGGGGCCCTCTGGCATCCCAAGCGAGTTCTCAACTATCGCGCCACTCGGCCAGCCCCCCCCCGCCAAGCCCACTCTTAACCAATGTGCCACTCGGCCGGCCCAATAGACTTTTTTTTAGAGCAGTTTTAAGTTTATAGAAAAATAGATCAGAAAGAAGACAGTTCCCACATACCCCTTCTCCCCCTGCATACAATTTCTCCTATTATTTACAACTTCTTTGATTAGTGTGATACATTTGTTACAATTGATAAACCAATATTGATATATTATTATTAACTAAAGTCCATAGTTTACACTAGGTTTCACTTTGTGTTGTACATTTTATGGGTCTTGACAAAGACATGACATGTGCCCATAATTACTGTATCCTACAGAATAGGTCACTGCCCTAAAAACCTCTGTCCTTCACCTATTTATTATCCCTCCCTCCCCCTAACCCCTGGCAACCAGTGATCTTTTTTTAAAGATTTTATTGGGGAACTGGGGGAGGGGAACAGTGTTGGGGAAGGGAAACAGACAAGTTGCTGTCCTTTTGTTCTTCAGTCTAGTTGTGGAGGATGTCGCTTCACTGGCCCGCCCATGTTGGTATTATCATTGCGCTCTTCCCAGATGAGGCAGTCACTTGCTGGCCATTGGATGGCCGCTCGCGGTGGCTCACAGCAGCTCACGAAAGTGCATGCCCGCTGCCGGCCAGCCCCACTGCAGCCTACACCATTGCTGGCGACTCACGGCAGCCCAGCTCCAGGTCGAGCTGTTGTTCGCCATCTTAGCTGTAGAGGGCGCAGCGTCACTGGTCTGCATGTGGGATCCGAACCGGGGTCCTGCTCCTCAGAGCTGGTGTCCCAAGCCAACTCCTAACCAACGTGCCACTCGGCCGGCCCCAACCAGTGATCTTTTACTGTCATTATAGTTTTTCCTTTTCCAGAATGTCCTACAGTTGGAATTATAGAATGTAACTGAAACATAAAACCCCACAGTTCTCATGTGTAGAGAAAACTCCATTTCTTCCTCAGTGTGGCTTTTTATCTTATATATCCTTTACTACTCACACACACTTTACGCCATGAATTGTTGGCATAAAATTCAGGTCACCCAACTTTGTCAAGCAGCCTTTTCAGCACTGCCAAATGTGTGGAGGTTTTTCCCCACACCAAGCAATTCTTTGAGACACCATCTGGGTGTTCTTCAATTTAACTCAATTCTGACACTACCTGGAGATAGAGTCAGATCCCACAGGTTCAGGGTTCAGCCCCACAAGACTGCCCCACCACATACACACACCTCATATGCCAGTCATAAGCCCAGGTTGTCACCTGGGCTTCTGACCAACAAGCTAGAGGTCGGAGATTCCCACAATCCCCTCCTCTGGTTTGGTTAATTTGCTAGAATGGCTTACAGAAAGAGAAACATTTACTTGTGTTTACCAGTTTATTAAAGGATATACCACTGAATAGCCGGATGAAGAGGTACATAGGACGAGATCTGGGAGGGTCCCAAGTGCAGGAGAGTCTGTCTCCATAGAGATGGTGTCACCTTTCTGATGTGGATGTGTTCCCAGGCTCAAGCTCCCCCAACCCCATGATACTGGGATTCTATGGAGGCTTCCTCACGTAGGCACGATCTATTATTCACTCCATTTCCAGCCCCTCTCCCGTCTCTGAAGGATGGGGGTGTGGCAGAAACTAACCGAGCTTCTAACCATGGCTTGGTCTTTCTGATGACCAGCCCCTGACATTCAGCAACCATCCAGGTGCCCTCAAAAGAACAAAAGATGCCCGTAATGCTCTCATTACTTAGGAATTTGCAAGGATTTCAGGAGCTTTGTGCCAGGAACAAGGCAGAGACCAATATAGAGTTTCTGTTACCTCACTATAGCCTCTTCAGATGGTTTTCTTTCACTTCGCAATATACTTTTAAGGTTCCTCTGTGTCTTTTCATGACTTGGTAACTCATGTTGAATCACTGAATAATATCCTGTTGTCTGGAGCCACATTCTTTTTCAGCTGCAAAGTATTCCACTGTGTAAATGGACCAGGTCAATAGCCCCCACTAATGGACACTTGGGTAGTTTGTCTTTTGCTGTTACCACCAACACACCCATTTCTGAACCTGAGGAATGGGTTTTTTCGGCCAATGGGTAAATGTATTTGTAATTCTGTGCCCTCCCTCTGGGTGTGTACCTCTATACTGTTGGAATATTTGGAAAAATGTAGTTATGCATTAGTTGTATATTAAAACAAAAACAGTGTAAAAATCACTCCATTTTGTGAGAAGTAGCACAGTGTAGTGTTGAGTCGAGCTGGGTGAGACAGACATATGGAGGGAGCTGTCTCTCCTTGCCAGCTGTATCATCTTGGGCAAGTGACTCAACCCTGCTGGTCTGTTTTCCCCTCTGTATAATGGTTTGGAAATAATAACCGCCTTTTAGGATCTCTCGGGAGGCCAGAAGTTTCTGAACATAACGGGCTTAGGACAGTGCCTGGCACTCAGCGAGGCCCCCACATGGGAAGTATTTCCTATGTCTTTACATCCAAACTATGGGATATTTTCCAATCATTAAATAAATGAGGTTGAGCACTGTCTGTTGACATAGAAAGATGTCCTGATTATATTGTAGAGTGCAAAAATGAAAGCAAGTTGTAGAACTGGAGTATAGTGTGTTAACTTGTGTGTCCTGAACAAATTATTAATAATATAATAATAATAATAATAATACCTGCTGCAGTAAGAGAAGAGCAACAGAGCCTATCTTATGGAAAACAATAGAATTAGAAAGTGAATGTTTCTTTCAAGAATATAAATCATTTAATCAACAAACATTGCTTACTAGCTTGATTTTGAAGGCTAAGAAAATACCTCAAGACAAATACTTTATTTACTTTGACTCAGCTGACCACATCAAGTTCCAAAGAGGAAAAAAGGCCAGAATTTTCCTGGTGCTGATAAACTTGAGTTACTTTACTCTGCACACATATAGACCCTTTTTATGATTTAGTTGTTTCTCTACCTTTGAAACAGTTAATTACACGTCAAAAAAAAAAAAGGTGCCTAATGGGAAAACTACTGGTGATTATGAAATCGTGTTCGTTGCTGAAAAATATTTAGCAGTCAGCACCTGGAGCTTGCCTTCTGAAGGTGAGCTATATAAAAACCTTCAGAAGCTGTTTTTCTTGCTAGTGGGAAGCTCAGTGTTCATGAGGTTGTCTTCCTGCAGTTGGGAAAAGAAACAGCATTTCTGGTTTTCTTCCCCGTCAAACCCAGTGCAGAGGCTCTGGCTCTGACCTCCCTTCCAGAATCGCTAACAGTTCTTAAACAGGCTTCTAAGTGCCAGGCACTTACAGAGCGTTGACTTAATTGTCACAGTTCTGCCATCCACCCCACATTATAGATGAGGAAACTGAGGCCCAGAAATTAAAATCACTGGCCCACGGTCACTCAGGTAGGAAGTGGGGCCTGTACCCAACTGGTCAGGTCTCCAAGCTCTGGCCCTTAGCCAGAAAAGATGTGTAAGATACACCTAGCAGGGGTTATGGCCCATGGATGTTTAGAGGAGATTATGTATTAAGAGTTTGGAATTTTTAGTGTCAGCAATTACTACCACCATAATGAAATGAATCTAAAACATGACCCCTCCTCACCCTGGCTGACCTGAATATCCTCCCATGCCAGCCCCGAGGAGGCCGGGCGGTACCTGGAGACCTACAAGGCCTACGAGCAGAAGCCAGCGGACCTCCTGATGGAGAAGCTGGAGCAGGACTTCGTCTCCCGGGTGAGGCCACCTCACCTCTCTACCTGGGCCTCCCCCCAGCTCCTTCCTGTGTATTTGAGCTTCAGTTCCGATGTCAAATCATACTTCTCCTCCCCAATCCCACCGTCAGCTTCCAGTCTCCCCTCTCCTACCTGAACAGTAGCTAGAGAGGTCTTCCTAAGCACAAATCTGATCTTGCCCTCACCAACTCAAATGGCTCCCCAGTGCCCTCAGAGAAAGCCCAACCTCTTCAGAGAAGCCCAGCCTTCTTGCTACGCTCTACGAGGCCCTGCCTATTTGGCCCAGCAGCCTTGTTCGCCCCGCCCTCACGTTCTCTGTCACTTCTCCCAGGCCTAGCTAGCTCCTCTAAGTATGTGCCCATTCTGTTCCCTCTGCCTGATTACCCGCCTAATCCCATCTTTCACATCTGATGCTCCCTTCTCCAGGAAGCCCTCCGTGATCCCCAGGCCAGGTCAGGTGTCTCCACTGGACTCCCCCCAATCCCAGCCCTGCCCAGGTCACCACTGATAGGAACTGATGTGTTTCCCACACTGGACTGGGAGCCCCAGAAGGGCAGGGATGGGACTGTCTCGGTCCCTGCTGTGTCCCCAGCATCACCCAGCACTCAGTGGGTACTCAGGTAGTATTTGCTGAATTAATTGTTGAATCTGGGCTCAAACGATAGAGTAATGGTGGATGTCTGCAGCCACCCCTGAGGTGTGTACTATTTGCCTGAAAATGGAGGCCCAGAGAGGTCAATTCCTGTGCCCAGGTTTCACGGGATTTAAGCAGTGGAGCCTAGTTTTGAACCCAGGCCTAACTTGAGCCTAGTCTTCCCCTGAGCAGAACCAGCTCAAGATAAATGGTATTTAGATGATCTTTCAATCAGTTAAAAAAAAAAAAAAAAAAGGAAGGCATTTATTGGGCACCTTTGCATGCACGGCAGTCTGGGGACACAGCAGTGACCCAGCACTGCCCTCACAGGGCTCAGCCCTGTGGCTCCTTTCTTCTTCCAAAACACCTCTGCCTCCTCCTCCCTTTCCAGGTGACTGAATGTCTGACCACTGTAAAGTCAGTCAACAAAACGGACAGTCAGACCCTCCTGACTACTTTTGGGGTAAGGAACGATTCCCTTGTCGAGACAGGCATTTCTGCCCCCTTGCCTTTTTGAGGAAGCCCCCCGCCCTTTCCCTTCCACCTCCCTGCCCACCCACCCTGCCATCCTTCCTGCTCCTCCTGCCATCCCACAGGACCTCACCTCCTTCCAGGAATATCTTAGACCCCCTGATCAGCCAGGGCAGGGTAGAGTTTTATGCTCACCTCCCCTGACCCTTGGCTTCCATCTTCCTCAGTCTCTGGAACAGCTCATAGCTGCATCTCGGGAAGATCTGACTTTGTGCCCTGGCCTGGGGCCCCAGAAGGTAAGAGCTTTGGGAATGGGCTTAACAGGTCAGGGGCAGGAGGGGGCCCCAAATAAATGGGACCCCAGATCCCAAAGTTCTAAGGTTTTGGAAGGCCCACAGTGTCTTTCCTACAGATGGGGAAAACCAAGGCCCAGAGAGGGTGGGAACCAGCCCAACCTCACACAGCCAGCCTGGGAGAGAATCCAGATTGGGCTACTTCTCTCCTAGTCCTCAGAGTCCCCCCTCCAGGCTGGGAGAAAAAGAACCAAAGCCCACTCCAAATACCAAACAAATGGCTCATTTAATGACTGGTTACTTTTTTTTCTCCCCTCCAACCCAGGCCCGGAGGCTGTTTGATGTCCTACACGAGCCCTTCCTGAAAGTGCCCTAATGACCTCAGCTGCCAAGGAGGTCCTCTGTGTAATAATAAAGCATTTTCCTGGTTCAGGTTCCTGCTGGTGTGCTGGTACACTAGGAGGGGGTTCTTCTCTCACCTTCTGACAGCCCAGGTGGCCACCTCATCTTTTCTTAGTTGCAGTTGTCAGTTTCCCTGGAGGATTTTACACAGGATCCTGCTGCGGCTTCTTCTTCCTCTTCTTCTCCCGTCCAGTGGGAGCCACCCCTCCAGACTCTGGATTCAGTGGCAGCTCTGGTATCTCCTGGGATCCCATCTCTGGTACCCTGCTTTCCTGGCCCTGCTTCTTCCTCTTCTTAGCGGATGCTGGATCTGCCCTGGCCTCGGGCTCACCCTCACCTGGCAGCTCAGGCTCTACCATCTCACCTTGTAGGTCAGTCACCTCAGTCCCTGGCTCTGTCGCTTTATGCCCTCTTTCTTTCTTCTTCTTCTTGGTGGATGCTACAGCTGCCCGAGACTCAAGGTCGCATGCCAGCTCAGGCACCGTCACCTCTTCTTGTGGCTCCTCCGCCTCTGTCGTTGGCTCCATCTTTGCATTTGGCCATTTTTCTTTCTTCCTCCTCCTTTTGGTGGATGTCAGAGCTGCCTCGGCCTGAAGCTCAACTTCATGTGGCAGTTGAGGCTCCATCTTCTCCCCTTGGAGCTCTAGAGGTCTCATCTCTGGCCCTACAGCCTCAGTCCCTGGCTCCATCAGCACTTTGTACCCCTTTTCTTTTTTCTTCTTTGAGGATGGCAGTGGGATGGCTTCCTCTTGTGGCTCCATCTTCACCTGCACCTGAGATTCAATTCTCATCCCCTCCACTGGCTCCATTCCTTCTGTCCGCTTCTGTCTCTTCCTCTTCTTGGTGGGGGATAGGACTGTTTCTTCCAGAGGCTCAGTATTAACCATGAGTTCTGGCTCCGGCATCCCTGTTTCTTGCTCAACCATTTCTGTATCTTTGGGCTTCTTTTTCTTCTTGTTGGTGGATGGGAACAGCACTCCCAGAGGTTCTAACACTTTGGCCACCAGCTCTGTTGCCACCGGCTCCATCACCTCCAGTTCTTTTGGTTGCTGCTTTTTTTTCTTTTTCTTCCCCACATCCATTTCAGGGGGCCCCAAAGCAGTGTCCACCTCTAGGGTCCCATGCCCATTCACTGCCTCCTGAGGAACAGAGGCTTCGGGTTTATGCTTCTTCTTTTTCCTCTTCCTGGAGGCTGGTGACCTCAGTGCCAAGGCTGACCCAGGTCCTGTGACTGGTGGGCTGCCTCCAAAGGCACAGAAACGAGGCCTCAGGCCAGGGGGGATCTGGGGTGGGGGGAGTGTTGGAATGGGCTGCAGTGGGGTCCCTGATAAGGATTCTTGGAGACCCTCTAAGATCCTTAGGCTGCCCCTGGGGACTGGGGCACAGGTGAGTCCACCTCCTGCCTCTGCTGAGGGGGCCAGCAGGGTTGCTTCTACAGCCTGGGGGCCGCTGCTGCTTAGGACCCGGTAGCGGTGCCGCTTGCCTGCCAACTTGCCCTTCACAATCTGGGAGCCAGAGAGAGGTACGAACCGGCCATTGAAGCTGAAAGAAGGGGAAGACAGAAGCTTGGTCAGATTCTTTGGGTAGGATAGGGGAAAGGAACTGAGAAGCAGGATTTCTGGGTTCCTTAGAACAAGTTGCTCTAAATTTCCCCCAAGTTTAGCCACTGAGGTGGGGCGTAGTCCCGGGAGGTGGCGTGGGACCACTCACCAGTCTGGGGCGAAGTCTGTAGGCGCCTGGATAAGCCACAGTTCCTTATCTGGGCCTGTCAACGCCTCCAAGGAGAAACGAGTGGGCTCTGAGGCTGGGGGCGTCGCGGTAAAGTTGTGGGGACAAGAGAATCGAGCAGCACCTGCAGCGGGGGAAACAAGGAGTCCGTTGATACTTTCCTGTCGGTCCAATCCTCCAGGGCGCATACCGATCCATTGGTCCCAACATCTTGAGCGCCCCCAATGCCCTCATCAGGTCTCTCCTTTATGACGGCCTGTTTCTCGGAGACATCTCCACGGATCCAAACCCGGTAGTCCCCTCAAGATACCCTTTATCCGTCCAACCAGCCCTCCACAGGGTATACTTTTCCCAGGCCTGTTTCTGGAGACGTCCCTTTTTCGGTTCTAACGCTCCCGGGCGCCTTCCTCCTCCAGCCAGCCAACCCTCTGCACCCCGCCGGCCCACTGTGAAGCAACTCACCGCCGGACTGGGCCCCCGCCATCACGGTACCCACACCACACACAGAGCCCACATCCAGTGCTACTCTAGCTCCGCTGCCGACCACGTGGAACCAAAGGGGTGGGGCCACACCCGGAAGCGCCCATGTAACGTGGGGGTGGTGCTCGGAGCCCGCTCGCTTTATGAGCAGAAGTGGGAGAAACTTCCACTTGTGCGGAGCAAATATCCGAAGAAAACGACTTCTCCTGAAAATTTGCTCCAGAAAGCTGATGATTCGCTGTGTGGCGGGAGGTAGAATCGCGTCACGTCCCGGTGGGCATCCCCTCAATCTCAGACATCATTTGCTCCAACGTCGTCTTAAAGGGCCAGCCACATTTATAGGACCTAACTCTTAAAGAGGCAGGGAAATCGATTGGTCTGAAATCCTTAAAGAGATAGGTAAGAGCCTTGGTTGGCAGGGCTGTGCTTTCCGTGTTACGGTCCTTTGTAAGGAGGCACAGATGCCTCGGAAGTTCAGAACTTGAATGGGAGGGGTGGGAAAATGGAGGAAAGGGGGGTAATTCCTCCCTAGGGCGTGATGTACCAGCCAGGGGCGGGGCTTATGGGCTCCAGGGGAGCGGGAAACATAGTGGGTGGATCCTATGGGTCCCAGGGCGGAGCCTTCAGATTCCTCAGCCAGATACCCGTGAGGCCGCGCAGGCTAAGGAGCGAGGCATGTGGGTCAAACGAGACAGGTAGATGGCCCCTAGGATTTAGTCTCGTGCGTGGCGCACATTCACTAAGTCTTTGAGAAAGGGAGAGGGAGCACAGGTCCTGACCAGCGCCCCTTCCGGCCCCCCGGCACGTGTAAACAGCGGCACGTGGACCCGGATTTGGGGGACACGCCTACGCCCCTTCCTACAGCGACCGTATCGCGTGGGGGTGGCGGGCGGAGCCGTGAGACGGCGGCTAGACAGGGTAACCCGACTGCATTCCTGACCGGTGTGTCAGCGCTGCTTCCTGTCCCGGTTGCCGAGATTTCAGATCTTACTCCAGAATTGGGTCGCTCCCCCTGTCTCAGGGAGCGACTGGCTTCCCAGAGCGGAGGGAGCGTCAGGGGAAGGGGACGCGTTCCCTCCACCCAGGATCGCTAGACTATTCCGGCGCGTGGGCGAGACACCGGGGCGCCGCCCCGCTGGCTCCCGGACTACAATTCCCAGAGGACGCGAGGCGGGGAGGCGCTCGATGTCTGTCGCGTATGCTGCTGGGGATTGTAGTCCTAGCCTTGGGCGCTGTTGCGGGGAAATCCTGGAAGGATCCAACCCGCCCTTTTTACCTACGGGGAGACTGAGGCTCAGAGACCCGAGGGGAAACTGATTTAGCAAGGCCCTCTTCTCGCTCTAAGGGCGGAGCATATGAGTCGCCCTATGCCTGTAACCTTCTACCCCTTTGGTAGTGTCCAACTTTTCATTTAAGAAGGGGGAAACTGAGTCTGGAGTGGTGGAAACTGAGCCTCTTCTGGGCAGAGACTCAGGAGTCCATTTCCTCCAGCCACAGCGAGGTAGGAATCTGGACTCTCCGTAGCCAGGTCGCTCTCGGCTTCTGGGCCTCGCCCTCTCTGTCTGTGAAATGGACTTTTGATGAATCCAAGTGGGAACGCCTCAGTCTGCGCCTTGCCCCTCCGGGACTACAAGTCCCAAGGTGCTCGAGGCGACCTCAGCTTCCCCTCCACTCCGGGACCCGCCTCCCTCCAGCCGGAGTCTCGTCGTCTAACCTGTTCCCGGCGCCTGCCCCGCCCCGTCCTCCGCTCCCCGCAGCCCGAGCCGGAGCCGGAGGAAGCCCCCCGGTGCCAGGATCTGCCCCGGATCCGTGAGTTCCACCCCCCTGGGGTCCAGTGGCTCTGGAGGACCCCGACACCCGCGTCCCTGGGAGGATTGGGAGGGGACTCGGACGCTGGGTCCCGGGGCGGCACTGGGGTGCGCAGATGTTAGGATCCTTGGAAGGAGAGAACTCGGACACCTGATTTACTGGGCAGAGGAAAGAAGGCCCGGATGCCTGGGTTTTTGGAATGGAGGGCTTGGACGCCTTGGTCCTGGGGAGACGTTGGAACTGGGACTGCTGACTCCCCCAACTGGGGGCTTTCGAAAGCCTGAGTCCTTGAGTGGAATTGGGGTAGTGGATGCCTGATTCTTGGGCAGAAATGGGAGGCTCGGACGGCTGGGGCTCTGAATGAGCGGCCATCCCTGCTGCCCTCCAGCTAGCTGCCTTCTCGAGCCAGCCTCTAGGTTTCTGAGAAGAACTAGGAATAGGGTGGAGATAGTGGAAACCGGGTCCCCGAAATGGAGCAGGACAAGCACCCGGGTTCCCTCTGGAGGCTGTGTCCCGGCGCTCTCCCGGCCCCACTTTCCGGCTCTGGAGTGGGGGCTAAGGGGGGGACCGGGGCAGCTCTCCAACCTCCTCTGTGCCGCTGCGCGATCCCCAACATGTCATTAACAGAGGCGTCAGACCTGCCTAACCAGAGAAGGGACCTCCGCCCCAGGGCGCCCCCTGGCGCAGGCGGGGTGCCTCCGATTGCCCCATGGAGGTGGGAAACATCTGGGGTTTGAAGAGGGCTGGCGTTCTAGATAGAACTCAGGGCAGAATTCCAGAAGGTGGGGTTGGATTCTGGGAGCCTTTCATGGCTGGGCACTACAGTCATTTACACAGAAAGGATGGGGGTAAACTAAGGCTTAGAGATCACAGAGTTGGGAGTCAAGATTTGATGTCCCCCTCCCTCTGCAGCTCTCTGGGGGAACTGGATTCCATCTACTCCCACCAGATTTTCTGACTAACCTCTTTCCTAGGGCTCCTCACCCTGACCCCGAGGTGAGAAATGTCACCTCCACCCCCATCCCTCTGACCTGAGGTAGCATGGGAGATAAGTGAGGGATAGAGGCTAATTCTGGAGGTGTGTGTCTGTCCTTGAAGCAGGGGGAGGACAGGACCTGCACCTCCCTGTCTCTCCCTTCTCTCCACCCCCATGCATCATGTGAAGGGATTAAACAAGGGGGTGGGGGAGGCAAGGGGCTCTGATGAAAGACAGAAGAACTTCCTAAAGCCTGGACTTGGAGGGCATTTGGTGATATCCTGCGATGACATTAAGAATAATAACCATAGCTACCAAGACAGAACTCACAGCATGCCAGGCTCAGGGCTGGCAGGTAAATTGAATAGTTCCCATTATCTCAGGCAACTGTCCAAAGGTGTCACTTTTAATGAAGTTTGCTGACCCCACCCCAGGGAATGACTTCTTCCTATTTTGGGGGGGAAACTGAGGCTGGAGTGGGGCAGTTCACACCCTGGGCTTTTGCCTTCTTCTGTCTGAAACCTTCCATGGCTCTCCATGCCCCTGTGCCCAAATTATTGGGGATGACCCCTGGCCAGAACTCAGGAATGTACAAGGAGAATTTAGGGCTCAGGAAGCCAAGATTCCAAAGGTCAAAACTCTCGGCTTTTAAAATTGCAGAAAGAGTTGAAAGGGCCCGTTTGAGGGGGAAAAATGACTGTGTCTTGAGCCCTCACTCTGTGCCAGTCCCTGTGTTATCTTAATTATCAGCAAATGAAGGCTGTAGTTAAGAATCCTATATTTGTGAACTTTATTTGGTGCCCTGCACTGTTCTCAACACTACATATATTATGTCATTCAAATCTCACACCTCTCTGAGGTGAAGGTATTAATCCCCCCCCCCATTATACACACGAGGAAACTGAGGCACAGAGAAGCTGAATAACTAGCCCAAGGTAGAGGCTGAGAGAGGGGAAAGCCTTAGCTCATTCCACAGACATCTCCAGAGGGGGAAACCAAGTCTCAGAGAGGGTGGGGCCTGTCCCAGCGTCTGTCTGCACATAGCTGTAGGATTCCAACTTGTATTCCCAGGCCAGCCAGGAGCTATAACCCGGTTCCTACTGAGGACGATCACTCCGGGAAGCCTCCCCGCCCCCGCCGCCCCATTGTTAACCTGGAGAACCTGGCTGGGGTGCAGTGGAGGCCTGGGAAGGAGAGCTAGGGGTGGAAGGGAGGGGGAAGCTGGATTTGGAGAGGAGCCTAGCGGAGAGAACCTGGGGGTGGAGGGCAAGGGCCTGGGAGCAGAGGAGCCGCCCGCGCCCCCTCAGGCCCCACCCGTACCCCGCTCCCCTGCCCCGGGAGGTTCGGCACCTGCCCGGGCCCGCCATGCATTCCCGGGGTCTGAGCTCAGGCGCTGTCCGCCCGCGGGGCTGGGGTCAGGCCGTGACCCGGAGCGCCCCCTGGCGGCCCCGACACCCTTTCTGCCCTCACCAGTCCCCTGACCGCCCCACGCCCAGCCTCGGCATTTCCTCCGAGGCAGCGGATATCAGCGTGTGATCTGAGAGTCTTAGAAATTTGGAAATCATGAAATCCCCAAAAGAAGCGCTCGCTGCCAGAATGCTGGCACTGGAGGCTGCATAGAATTGTTCAATGTTTATATTTTAACAGACACTTGCATAGTGTTTCCAGTGTATCTCATGTTCTAAAAGACCTGAGATTTGACTCCTTCAGTCTCTACTTTCTGAGGCCTCAGTTCTCAGAGCTTTAATTGCTCTCTCACCTTCTGGCCAGTTTTATCCTCACAACAGTCCTCTGGGGTAGACTGCTGTTTCTTCTCATTATACAGATCAGGAAACCGAGGCACTCGTGTCGGGGGAGGGCCAGTGGTGCAACCAGATTAGAACCCTGGAAGTCTGGCTCCTTACTTGTGCTCTTACCCATTGACTATATCATACAGTCACCTAGACTTTTAGGGCCATGGGATCCTGGGATAGATAGAACATGGTGAAGGAAGATGGAGAAACCGAGGCTAGCCAAATGGGACAATTCTAGAATGTTCCAAGGATAGAATCTTGGACTCAGAACTTTTGAACAATAGACTTTCAAGCTCTGAGAGCTTTATGCTTTGTAGAATTTTAATTACAATTTCAGGGTCCTTACATTTTTAGAATCTAGGCCTCTGAGAGATTGAAGGGGCCTGTCAAAATAACTGATTTACCTCCTCCCTTGATTATTGGGGAAACAGGCCCAAAAGGTGGAGGGGACCCATCACCGAAGGTTACATACTCCCAACACACCCAAATGAGCCACCAGCCCCAACAGGTTCTGTTCTGAGGCTTCCCAGACAGAGGCTGGGATCGGCACGTCCTGGCCTGCCCCGCTGCCCACACCTGAACCGCCAAAGCTAAGCTGTCGGGGAAGTGGCAGAGCTGGCAGATGTGGTGGCTACTGTGGGGATGGGGATAGTGCTAGCCTGACTGGTTCCTGGTGGCCTGGCTCCAACCCACTGGACTGGTAACCACAGCAGCCCAGCCATCCCTGGCCACCTCCTTCTTCTTTTTAACACTGGGCCCCTGGGAACCATGTCTCCTGTGGCTCGGGACTCTGGGGAGGGGAAGCTGAGTAATCCCTGCCCTCTGGGACCCTTCCAGTCTGGTGGAAACACCCCCAAAATAATAAGTTATTAATAGATCCAGGTGTGAAACCTTGCAGGATGACCTTAAACAAATGTTTCTGGCCCCACTTTCCTTTTGCTATGGTGATTTTGACCATCAAATGCGGTATTATCTGGTGCAAAGTACTTGGCACAATTCCAGGAGGCAGTGGCTCCTCAGTGAATGATTGTTTTGTTTCATTATACCTATACAAAGCAACTAGCCTATATCAAACGACTAGCACAAGGCCTGGCACACTGTAGGCAGCACATTATTATTTTAGAAAATATCCCCAGCATCTAGCACAGTGTCCCCTGGTCCCTAGTAGGCATTCAGTAATTGATAGTTGTTGTTTTTTTAAGCTGAGCCATCCTGCCACCTGTTGGTAGCTCAGCTGCTGCTCAGCTTGGCGGGAATCGAACCGCTGTTGCTCAGAGCTCAAACTCTTGAGCGAGCTCTGAACCAACTGAGCCACTCGGCCGGTCCTAATTGATAGTTATTCTTACTGCATCCTCTGTTCACTATAATGTCTGGCATATAGTAGGTGATCAATAGATAATTGTTGAAGGAATGATTCAAGTCTTATAAGGGCTGAGATAGAGAGATGAACAAGAAACCATGTAAAGAGAGTAAATTGTCTTGAGTCTTCCAGGATGGTTTTGAAGGAGTTGGCATTCCCCAGTCAGGGAAGTGGAAGGGCACAGCGCTTCCAGTGGAAGGAACTAGTAGGGTAAAGGCGCTGGCTGTCCTGCTCATCGAAACTCAGCTTCCCTGTGGGCGGGGTCAGGAGGGGCGGGGTCTGAGAAGGCTCTTCCCCCCCAACGCAGGCGCTCCGGGTGGCACCATGGACAGCGAGGCATTCCAGACCGCGCGGGAACTTCTGGACCTGAACTTCAAGTGTGAGCTGGGGTAGGGGGCGGGGCTTGCCCGGCGGTGTCCTGGGGGCAAAGGCAAAGCCCTGCCTGGAGGTCCCTGTCCTTATCACTACGTCTGCCTGCCCAGCTCTGGCCATGAAGCACATGGACCTGAAGCAGATGGAGCTGGACACGGCGGCGGCCAAGGTGGACGAGCTGACCAAGCAGCTGGAGTCGCTGTGGTCAGACTCTCCGATGCCTTCTCTTGGCTCGCAGGCTGCAGCCTCCCCTAGGGTGAGCCTGCTAGCCCTAGTCCCCCCCCCGACCCTTAAAGCCATCTTCTTTCGCTTGCTGTTCAGGCAACTTTGCCCGGTAGTATTGTGTGACTTGTGGGCTATTTTAAGGACACTTTAAAGTGGGGACCAGTGGAAGTGGTCATCTAACAGGTCCCCCGGAAGGAAAGTGGCCTTTTTCTAAGTGGCACTAAGGTGCTGAGTGGGCTAGCCTCAGCCCTGATTTCAGGGCTCTCTCCCCAACACTCCTTGCTGGGCTCTCTGTGCCTGAATGTCCAGCTCCAGTTAAACTCCCCTGGGTTGATTTTTGATGATCTCTTTTTACCTCCTCCCAACCCTCTAACGCATGTCTCCTTTGACCCCATCATTGCCCCGGACTCTCCCCAGCTGTCGCGGTACAGCTCCAGCCCGATCCCTGAGCCCTTCAGCAGCCGCGGGTCCTCCCGGAAGGCGACCAGCGATGGCGCAGACACCCCGTTCGGACGCTCCGAGAGCGCCCCGACTCTGCTCCCCTACAGCTCACTGTCCCCTAAGGGCCGGCCGTCGTCACCGCGCGCCGCGCTCTACCTGCAGCCGGACGGCTACGGCAGCCTGGAACGCGCGCCCTCGCCCCGGTCCCGTGCCTTTGATGGCTCGGGCAGCTCTCTCGGCCGTGCGCCCTCCCCACGGCCCGGCCAGGGCCCGCTCCGCCAGCAGGGTCCCCCCACGCCCTTCGACTTCTTGAGCCGCGCCGGCTCTCCGCGTGGCAGCCCCCTGGCCGAGGGGCCCCAGATGTTCTTCCCTGAGCGCGGACCCTCGCCGCGTCCCCCAGCCGCCTATGACGCGCCGTCTGCCTTTGGGAGCCCCCTGATGGGCACTGGAGGCAGCGCCTTCGCTCCGCCTCTGCGCGCTCAAGGTAAACGGAACAGAACTTAGAGGGTGGGAGAGGGTGCGGGCCTGGGACCAGCCTCCTCCCGTATTCTCATTCGCCGCCTCTCCCCAGATGACCTAATGCTGCGCCGGCGGCCCCCCAAAGCCTGGAACGAGTCGGACCTGGACGTGGCATATGAGAAGAAGTCTTCACAGACAGCGAGCTATGAACGTGAGTGATGGGAAGCCGGGGGCGTGGGGAAGCCAGAGAGGCGACCCCCCAGACCCTAATGATTTCTGCCTCGCAGGCCTGGACGTCTTCGCACGGCCCTCCTCACCAAGCCTGCAGCTGTTACCCTGGAGAGAGAGCAGCCTGGATGGACTGGGGGCCTCCAGCAAGGTGAAGGAATAGAGAAGCTTGGGGAGGGGGCTGGTGGGCAAAGGCGGGCAGCGGGATCAGGGCAAGTCTCCCCCTCCTGGCTCTGTCCTCAGTTTCCATACCCTTCCCTAAGCCCTTCCTTCTTTATCCTGGATTTCCACCTACACCCCTCTTTCCCTCACTTCCTCTGGCTTCCCTCACTTCCTCATCTTTTGCCCTTCCCTCCTTCCTCTTTCCTCCTTCCTCCTTCCCTCCTCTCCCTTATTCTTCCTTTTCCCCTATCTTCTCCCACCTCAGTCCCTTCTTCCTTCCCTCCTTCCCTCTTTCTACCCCAGGACAATCTCACCAGCGCCACCTTGCCCCGAAATTACAAGGTCTCCCCTCTGGCCAACGACAGGCGTTCTGATGTGGGCAGCTACCGCCGATCGCTGGGCTCCGTGGGGCCATCAGGCACTTTGCCCCGCAGCTGGCAGCCTGTCAGCCGAATCCCCATGCCTCCTTCCAACCCCCAGCCCCGTGGTGTCCCCCGCCAGCGCCCCATCCCCCTCAGCATGATATTCAAGCTGCAGAATGCCTTCTGGGAACATGGGGCCGGCAGGACTGTGTTCCCTGGCTCCCCCATCTTCTCCCGAGCTCCTCCACCTAAGCTGTCTCCCCAGCCCCAGGCACCCCCGCAGCCCCAGCTACTCTCCCAGCCCCAGCCCCAGCCCCAACCACAGCCCCAGCTGCCCCTACAGCCCCAGGCCCAACCACAACCCCAGCCTCAGCCCCAGCCTCAACCCCCTGCCCCAGCGTCCCAGCTCTCCCAACAGACTTGGCCCCCTGTGAGTGAAGGTGAGTCAGTAGTGGGGGTTCCAGAGGGCTGGGTGAAGGGAGGATAGACAGCTGGGGACCAGATCAGCAGGGAGAGCCATCACAGCCAAATGCCTGTTTCCAGTCACTGTCCCTGCAGAGAGCTAGGCCAGATGAGTATGGGAATTTGCTCAGGTCCTGGAGTCAGACTACCTGGCTCCACACTGTGTGACCTTGGGCAAGTCACTTAACCTCTCTGGACCTCAATTTCCTTGAGTCTAAAAGGTGAATATAGAACCTGTCTTATTGGGATATGGTATTAGTATTAACCCATATAAAGTCCTTAAAATAGGACCTGATGTATATATAGTAAGCTTATAGCTATCATATTAGTTATAATTAATATTTTTGGTGTGAGACCCGTGCAGGGCCTGGAGTTAAGCAGAATGGGTTTTGAGCCCCTCTCCACCACTGACTTGCTTGCTGTGTGACTCAGGATAAATTAGTTAACCAATCTGAGCTTCTGTTTTCTCATCTGTGAAGAAAGATTAATAATATATACTACGTAGATTATGATGAGCATTCAATGAAATAATGTATAGAGAATGATCGTTATTATTTCTACCTGCTTTAGAAGCTCTGATAGAGAGGAATAAGACAGGGAGAAGAGACCATCAAGTACCAGGATTCTAGTCCCAGCAGGAGTTTTCTGCCTGAGATGTTCAGAGAGGAAATTCGTAGAATCTTAGAATGTCAAATCTATCATGATGGTAGGAGCACAGGGTCAGATAGAACGGAATTCAAATCCCAACTGTATGGCTTTGGGCAACTGATTTTCTCTCTCTGAGACTCAGTTTCCCTTTCTGTAATAAGAAGATGATAGTCCTCATAGGGTAATGAGGTCAAAATTCAATAAGACAGGCATGTAAAGCACATGCTAAATGCTTGATAAATGGGAGATGTCATCATTGTATATTAGTCACAGCCCAGGGAAAATGTAGCCCAGAGAGAGCAAAGAACTGCCCTGAGGTCACACAGCAAATCGGGTTGCAGGTTCTGGAAGTCGTGGGGAGGGAGTCTTGGGGGTCTCCCCAGCCCCACTCTGATGGGGCTCTTTTTCCTTGTAGGCCCCCCCAAGCCCCCTGCTGAGCTGGATCCTGAACCAGAGCTGGAGAGTCTGCTGGCACCAGTGTTGGAGGCTGGCGATGCAGATGAAGGTGCTGTAACTCGGCCCCTCAGCCCTACGCGGCTGCAGCCAGCGCTGCCCCCCGAGGCACAGTCGGTACCCGAGCTGGAGGAGGTGGCACGGGTGCTGGCAGAGATTCCTCGGCCCCTCAAACGCAGGGGCTCCATGGAGCAGAGCCCTGCTGTAGCCCTGCCTCCCACCCACAAGAAGCAATACCAGCAGATCATCAACCGCCTCTTCCATCGTCACGGCGGGCCTGGGGGGCCTGAGCCCGATCTGTCTCCCATCACTGAGGGATCTGAGGCCAGGGTGGGACCCCCTGCTCCTGCCCCACCAGCTCCCATACCACCCCCCGCCCCACCTCAGAGCAGCCCACCAGAGCAGCTGCAGAGCATGGTAAGTAATATAGGAGGAAAGTGGGGTATATTAGTTAGCACATGGAAGTGCCCCTTCTCTTTTAGGACAGAACTTGGAAATTGTACACATTACATCTGCTGCATCCCATTGGCTAGGAACCCAGCTGCAAGGGAAGCTGGGAAATATAGTCTTTAGGCATGCCCGTGTTCAGAAGAAAGGAAGAATGCATATGGAAGGGTATCCAGAAGTTTTGGCTACAGGGAGACTTTCTGTGCTCCTCTCCAATCTCCCCCCCCCCCCCTGCTAGGGCATCCTTTCAGGAATTTTGTAGTCTTACAACCTTGGAGACTTACAACAATAACTATGTCTTGGCAGACAGTGGGTTTATTCTGGGACCTGAAAAGCCTGCCTGAATCAAGGCAGTCACTATTTCACTCCCTGGTTGCCACAGTCTCCTGTGTCTGCCTTCTGTGGGGATCTGCTCTCTCCTCTTATATCTCAACAAGCCCATGCCATGGCTAGAAATGGCCCAGCCAGCCCTGACTCAAAATGACCTTAGTTCAAGCCTATAGGGTCCTCTGACTCTACTTGGAACTCCTTCCATTCACATGTTCAAGAGGAAGTCTCTGGTCTCTGAGGCTGTGAGTGTCGTGGTTAAGTGTTGAGCTAGGCTGCCTGGGATCAAATTGCAACTCCACAGCACTTACCAGCTGTGCAACCTTGGGCAAGACACTTTCTCTGGACCTCAGTTTCCTCATCTGTAAAGTGGGGATGTGAATAACCATAGATTGATATGAAGACTCAATATATTAACAGAGTGCTTAGAGTAGTGCCTGACACTTAACTGTTAACTACTATTACTGTTATCATTTGCCCAGGAGATGGTCTCCTGCTGATCTTGGTCCAATCCCTGCATCTTGACTGGGGGTGGGGAGTGTAGTCACATGGAACAGTCCTGATTGCTCAGTGTGGGTAAACAGGAAGGGGAACAATTCCCAGAGAAGAAGTGGGGACCAGGTGGAGACCCCAAAATACCTACTCCCAGACCCTCCTGAGGGCGGAGCCAAGAAATGTTGAGGCTTAGGATCTTAAATCAAGAATGGAAGAATGACAACATCTTGAAATGGTGCCTCATAGAATCACAAAGGCCAGGCCACAGAGAAACTCGAAAACTCACAGAATTCAATAATTCAATCTTGAAGTCACCAAAACTGAAAATTAAGACAGCATTTGAATAATAAAGTCACAGATTAGCACACTAATATGTTGTTATACAGATTTATATTTTGAATTGACATTTTTCTCTAGAAAGGAATACTCAAACACGATAAAAATTTGGAGGAAATAGATAAAAAGCAGAATAAAGAGGCCAAAATCACAGCACTCAGAGAGAGAACCATTACTAACATTTTGAGTTAAATGTAAAATATTAAAGTTCTGAATCATAGAATCTTGTCTCCCAGCTTCCTCTCAGGTCTGGCCCAAGATTCCCAAATCACCAGATTCCCCAACTCCTAGGGAACCAGAAGCTGTAGCACTGAGGCAACCCTGCTCCCCACAGCTCTCTCTGTCTACCTCTCTGGGTTGCAATCCCAGCCCTACCCATCTAGTCGGATGAGCTGGGGCAGCTGCCGCCTGGTCCCTGAACCCGTTTCCCCCCTCCAATAATGGGTATATTAACAATCCCTCAAGTCACTGAAGTTCCACGCCCTGCCCCCCAGGAGATGCGCTCGGTGCTGCGGAAGGTGGGCTCTCCGCGCAAGGCTCGCCGCGCGCGTCTCAACCCGCTTGTGCTGCTGCTGGACGCGGCGCTGACCGGGGAACTGGACGTGGTGCAGCAGGCGGTAAAGGAGGTGAGTGCTGCGGGAAAGCAAGGCTGGTGGGGTGGGGGCGGCGAACGCGGGAGGGCAGCTGGGTACTGAGCCTCCTGGTCCCCCTCGGTCTGCCCAGATGAACGACCCGAGCCAGCCGAACGAGGAGGGCATCACCGCCCTGCACAACGCCATCTGCGGTGCCAACTACCCCATCGTGGACTTCCTTATCGCAGCCGGCGCCAACGTCAACTCCCCCGACAGCCACGGCTGGTGAGCCCAGACCCGCGTGGGGCGGGGACAGCGCTGTGGGCCGGGGCCCCTGCAGACAGGCGGGCGGCCGCTCACGCCTGCTTCCCACGCCTAGGACACCTTTGCACTGCGCGGCTTCGTGCAACGACACGGCCATCTGCACGGCGCTGGTGCAGCACGGCGCTGCCATCTTCGCTACAACGCTCAGCGATGGGGCCACCGCCATCGAGAAGTGCGACCCCTACCGCGAGGGTTACGCGGACTGCGCCACTTACTTGGCAGGTGCGAGGCAGGGCTGGGCAACCTCTGGGGGAGGAGGTCGTGGAGACTGGGCCGCCCAGCTGGCAGGTGTTGGGGGCAGCGGGGGAGGCGCCCGACTGCCATTCCAGAGAGAGAGGACTCGGGCTTTTCCAACTATGTGGCAGGATCACAGAAGAGGGGGCGGCGGGAAAGATTACCTGCAGGGGAGGGGAACTGGGCCTCGCACCTGGCAGGTGCAAGCAGGGGCAGGGGCAGGGAGCAGACTGTGCCACTTTCGAGGGAGAGGGGGTCATGGGGCTGTGCCATGTAAGCTGGGCACCTGTAGGGAGAAGAGTGGTTGGAGAGATTGCGCCGTTCATCTGCTTTCTCGCCTGCGGGTGTGGGGAGCCCTATACCATCCACCTGGCATAGGGCTGAGCAGGTGGGCTGTGTTACCTGTGGGAGATACATTACCATACAGCTGGCAGGTAAGCTGACCGTGATTTCTTCAGAGGGGCTTGGAGATTTTTCCACTTGTAGGGAGACAGGAGGCTGTACCATATACCTCCAGGAGTGGGGGCCTCCATCACCTAACCAGGTAATGGGAGGAACTAGGTAGGCCTTACTACGGGGGTGTGCATAGGGTCTGTACTGCACACCTGGAGGGGCAAATTGTATCAGAGGGCAGTGTTAAGAACGTCGCAGAGCTGGAATAAGGCAGGCTGTAGGGCAGTGTATTTAAGAGGAGAGCCTAGGGGGGATACACAACAGCCTGCTGTGCCGCCTGTGGCAGAAAGCGGGTGAGAGCCATGGAGCTGTAACACTGCCTTACAGGTGAGTAGAGGCCGACTGGGATTGGACTACTGGGGTGGGAAGTAGACTGTTCACTGAAGAGGGGAAAGGCTGTAAATTTAAGGGTAGGGGATTGGGCCATTACACCTTTGTCACAGGTAGTGTACCGTCCAACCTGTCTGGGACATGGGAGTTCTGTGTGGGTGAAGTAGGGATTGGACAGCATACCTGGCCGAACACAGTAGATTGAATCAATAGAGTGGGATCATGGTGGACTGTACCATCTGGAAAGGGGGCTAAATCCTGGGTGGAAATTTTATACCATGGAGGGAAGGGTGTTTCAGCTGGGCTGTGCTATCTGGAAAAGTTAATACAACCATTTTGGAGACTATCACTTGGGAAGGGGAACAGTGTGGACTACACCATCTGGAAAGGGGGAGATGGTACCACTTAGAGGAGATGGAATAGGGCTGTTCCCCCTGAAGGAGGTGTTGAGTCCTCTGTGGGTACTCTAACACTTAAGGGGGGTTGGGGTACCGCCGACTGTATCTCTGGGAATGACACGAGGACTTAAGAGGGGATGGGAACCAATGATCCTGCCTCGGGGGTTGGTGGCCCGGCTTGATGTACCCCAATGTTCTCGAATTTTAGAAACTGCCAGTCCTGGTAGCTGACTCCAGTTTAGGGTCCCCGATCCAGACAGGGGTACACAACTTTTCAAGTGGCTCATCTCCTACCTGGGGCAGGTGCCAAATTCCGGGCCCTCTCCCTGTCCCCAGAGTGCTTCGTGTTCTTGAATGTACCTGGCCCCCCTGGACCAGGCGCTCACTATCCCTGCCGTTTCGGGTTTCAGACGTGGAGCAGAGCATGGGGCTGATGTTCAATGGGTTGGTGTACGCCCTCTGGGACTACAGCGCTGAGTTTGGGGACGAGCTGTCCTTCCGCGAGGGCGAGTCAGTCACCGTGCTCCGGAGGGACGGGCCAGAGGAGACAGACTGGTGGTGGGCCACGCTGCACGGCCAGGAGGGCTACGTGCCCCGTAACTACTTTGGGGTGAGCCCAGGGTAGATACTGTGTGGGCTTCCGGGTGGTTGTTTGGGGAAAGGGGTGGTCCCACAGGAAAAAGGGGTGAGAGAGACGGTCCATTACATAGGTGGGGGGAGGTCAGAAGAGTCTATTGTCGGTTGAGGGGGAGGAGAGGAAAAGCCCATTATAATAATGGGGGCGGTAAGGGAGAGCCCCTTACTGGTGGTACTTCTGGGATACGTACCGATATTGCCTCACTGGGTATTTGATTGGTCATGCTCAAGTATTTTTTATTATCATCCCTAATTATATGAATGGGAGGTAAAGAATGCACTGTATTGTAGTTTAGCCAAGAGGATCAATGAAGAATTTCATTTTAGTGCTGAGAGAAAGTTAAAGAATTGTATATTCTTTAAGTTGAGGAAGCTTTTTCTTGCACTGCATTGGGCAGGGTAAGGAAGAATCCATTAATACAATTATGGTAGAATTGAGGGAGATTCTATTAGGTTAGGGGAAGACATCAGGAAGATCCCATTATATTCCTAGGAGAGAAGAGTCTTTTGATTTGGGGATGGGTGGAGGTGGGTCCTAACCAGACAGCCACGTGGTAGGGAGAGGCGGTAGGAGATTCAGAACATGCCATTTCATCAAATCGGCTGCTGATTGGAAGGCTCCATCTGGTGCCTGGAGGTGACACGGGACTCGGGGAATACCAGAGTGGTGTGGGAGATGCCGAGGGAGCCCTTTAGGAAGAAATGGGATGATGGAGACAGTCCATGTGTTTGGAGTGGATCGATGACTCCATTCAACTTGGGGGTGGAATGAGGGGGTGGGAGCTCCTAGTGTCTAAAGCCCCTTCTTCCCTCAGCTCTTCCCCAGGGTGAAGGCTCCGAGGAGTAAGGTCTAGCTGGAGAGAAGGACCTTTTCAAGGGAGACAGGAGGAAACAGCCCTGCCTTCACTCCAGACTTCCTGCTATATTACTGCTGCACCCTGCTGCGCCCCAAGCCCTGCAGGGGTGGAGGTCCTTTGTCACCTGCTCGCTGCTGCCCTGGAAGTCCAGGGGAGAAGGAGAACCCCAGCCTTAACTTTAGAAACCTGTCTTAGCCGTGGGAGGTCGTTGTGGAATCACTGGGGACAAGAGAGAACCCCATTTGCCAAATCAGATCCGGGCCAAAGTACCCCCCACTCCTACTGCTAACCCCTTCCCCAACCCTTCAAAACAAGCCAACCTACCATCCTCCTGAAGCCTGGGATGGGTCATCTCCACTGGCTTTACCTGGGAGTCACCTCTGCCCCCATTTCTCCCAGCAGAGGGGGGCGGGAGGGGGAGGCGCGGGTAAGGCAGGTCTATCTCTACCAGGATCCCTGCCCCACCTCTCCCCAACCAAGTGCCTTCATATGGTGCTGGTTTTATAACAAAATGGGCAAGTTTTTCTTTATAAATAAAGGTAGTGTGCACAGAAATTGACTTCCTTCTGGATTCTGTTCTGACATAAAAGCTCATCACTGTTACTATTTTGGGCAAACCAGTCTTAAAGTAGCCTCTTTCTAAGGGATTTCCCTCATGTAAATTCAATCCTTCCTCTTTCAAATATGCCTGCCTTCTTTTTTTTTTTTGGTAGTATCTTTTTTTTTTTTTTTTAAGGTTTTTATTGGGGAATTGGAGGGGAACAGACAAGTTGCTGTCCTTTTGTTCTTCAGTCTACTTGTGGAGGACGTCACTTCACTGGCCCATGTTGNTGTCTCCCTCTCAGGCTATCTTTCTCCTCTCCTCCCCGCTTACCTATCTACCAACACGTCACGTTCTTTTACCTGGAACATCCTTCCCCATCCTCCAGCCTCCAACTATGTCCCCCTCATCCTTCAGTTCTTGGCTCAGTAGAGATGTCCTCTCCTCCAGGAAGCCCTCTGTGACCTCCAGGCTGGTCTCAAGACACCTACCCTCTGGTCTCCCCCATCCTAGCCCTGCCCACTCTTGGGTAGTCACTGGGGATAGGTCTGTGTCCCTATCACTAGACTGTGAGCCCTGAGAAAACGGGACCAGAGATGTCTCGGCTACTGGTGTGTGCCCTGCATGGGGCTGGGCACAGAGGACTTGATTTTTTTTTTTTTTTTTTTACACTAAGTGAAATTGAATATGTGAATTCATTCATCTAGTCAATAAACAGGCCAGGCAGGAACCAAGAAAGACCACTTCCCTGACCTCTGGGACTTATATTCTAGAGGGGAAGACAGGTAGTGAAGGCGCAAACAAACAAGATAATTCCAGAAAGTGATAGTTTTCATGAGAAACACATTGGTTGTCATGTTGGAGCAGACCTGCAGTGGCCAGGGTGGCCAGGGAAGAGGCCTTTCTGAGGAGTTGACATTTGAGCAGAGTCCCAAATCACCAAAGGGAGCCAGCCACCTTGGGAAGCTTTCCAGGCAGTAGGGCCAGCAAGTGCAAAGGCCCTGGGGTAGAGTGAGCCTGGTGGTTTTTGAAAGTTAGGCAGGAGGCATGTGAGCAAGAGAAAATGGGTTGGAATGGCAGGTTTCCTCAGATGATCCTGGACCCCAGGAAGGGTGTGAGGAGCTGTGGGGAGGCTTCTGACCAAGACAGGGCTGTGACCTGACTCAGGATTTTACAAGCTCCCTCTGGCTGCTGTGAAGGGAGCATGGATAGGCACTGGGAGTACAGTGAGGAGGGAACTACAGTGCCAGGCAGAGGTGGTGGCAGCTGGACAGGGGAGGGAGTGGGGGAAGTGGTCAGATTGCAGATAGGCTTTGAAGGTAGAGCTGACAGCCTCCTGATGGTTTAGACAGAAAGGCAGTGGGAGAAAGATTGAGGCTTTGGCCCAAGTGGCAGGGCGGGCCCTTATGGCCCTGGGAGAGACTGAGAAATGAACCTTTGGTGCTTTCTGCTCAGGATCCTCGATGAACATCTGCACAGGTGTGGGTCCTGGGGAGAAGCTAACAGGTTGGGGTGAATTTTGGACTCAGATGCCTGGGTTTTAGGCTTGCGCTGCTGGTTACTGGTCCCTTTCACTATGGGGGTGGAGACTGGGGAATAGCTGAATGAGTACGGTTACTACTGGCACCCTGGGAATCTCACCGGCCCCCTGTAGGTTTCACCATCATCATCGAGCCCTTTGATGACAGGACCCCGACCATTGCCAACCCTATCCTGCACTTCAGGTGAGACCCAACCCCAGTGGGGTTGTGAACAGACCATGGGCCCCAGCCCCCCAGCCAGGCCCTCACCATTCTTGTCTGCTCCCCACAGCTGCATGGATGCCTCTCTGGCTATCAAACCTGTGTTCGAGCGCTTCCAGTCTGTCATTATCACATCTGGGGTGAGGATCCTTCTCCAGTCCCCAGTCCCCTGCCCTCCCCTGTGGGGCTCTTGGTTCCTGCCCAGTCCTACTGAGGTCCGTCCTGCTGTCCCTGCTACAGACGCTGTCACCGCTGGACATCTATCCCAAGATCCTGGACTTCCACCCTGTCACCATGGCAACCTTCACCATGACGCTGGCCCGGGTCTGCCTGTGCCCCATGGTGCGTGGGAGAATGTGGGGTGATGGGGTGGAGAGATGGAGTGAGGAGCGGCCTTTTCTCCTTTTGTTCCCTCCACTGCTCAGGCAGGAGAGCTTTATAGCCCAGGACACGGATTCTGGGTGCACGCAGACCTGGGCTTGATGCTACTTCTCTTTGTGGGTATATGCCCCCGGCCTCAGTTTTCTCATCTGTGAAATGGAAATGCCTCCTCCCTGATCTCCCAGGGTGGTGGAGGGGAGAGTGAGCTAAGGGGTGTAAAACACTTACGTGGCCCATGGCCCGGCTCTTGATTAATGTGGCTTTGCCCAGTTCATCATCTGGCTGTGACCTCAATAAGTGACCCTTCTGCTCTGCCTCAGTCTCCTGTGCAAATTGGGCATCGTAACATGGACACCCAGTCCCTCATCTGTAGCCCTTGGGCCAGATGTGCTTTAGAATTAAGAATTTTGAGAATTGAGAATTTTCCAGACTTTAGAAACAAATCAGATGCTGTGGGGTGTGTAACACTCCCAGAGGGGTCTGGGCAGCCACCTCCAGTCAAAGTCATGTGATTATTTCATCAGTGAAACATTTAGAGTCAAAAAGGGAGATAAGTCAGGACTCTCAATAGACTCGGGGCAGGGCAGGTTTCACCACTCTAAGAGTTTGTGCCAAACTTAAATACCTGGACTTCCCAGAGTATTGTGGCTTTGGGAATTGTCCTTTGGGGGTTGTGGGCTGGTGCTGACCACACACTGCAGCATGGTTTTGTGAGGCTGCCAGTGGGGTTCTACCAGTGGCTCAAGGTCATGGTGAGGAGCATTCTCCTGGAACCGACTGGCGGGAGGCTGGGGCTGGCTGGAGTGTACTTGCTAGTTGGGGACGTGGGCAGACTTGGGTCCAGTTCCCTCTCTGCTGTTTATTTGCCGTGTGACCTTGGGCAGCTGATTCACCTTCTCTTTACCTTCTCTGAGCCTTAGGTCATTCTTCCATGCAGTGCAGATAACAGGGTAGCTGAGCATTTATTCAATGACACCGTGTCCATAAAAAGCTTAGAACAGCACTAGCTGGCTACCAGCACTCACACACAGGAGTGGCTGCTGCTGCTTTGCTTATTGTGACCTCTCCTATCTCCAGATCATTGGCCGAGGCAACGACCAGGTGGCCATCAGCTCCAAATTTGAGACCCGGGAAGATATTGGTATGCTGCCCACAGGGGTGGTTTATTTGGGTTCCGAGACGGAAAGTTTTTCAGTCAGTATGGCCTAAGTCTTGCTGCAGTAACAAATACCCCCAAATCGAAGTGGCTTCACAGAGGTTACTTCTTGCCCACGAAACATGCCATTGTGGGTGGGTGGGTGGGTACCTGCCCAATGCCACCTCTCTGGGAACTTCCACCATTGGACACGTCACTGTGCTGGTGAGATGTGACAGGTTATGGTGATCGTGGTGAATTGTATACTGACTAGCAAAGGTGCTCAGATGGAAGTGATACAGCCACTTCTGCACTCATTTCATTGGCCGTGGCAAGTCACATGACCATGCCTAACTTCAGGGGTTGGGGGGCACAGTCCTCCCAAGGGCCTGGAAGAAGTGGAATGTGAGTGATAAACAGCCCTACAGATGGCCTCAGTGGGGTTTCTAGGAACCCCAAGTTCAAGACCAGGCATTAGACAGGAACGCTGATAGGGTGTGGGGAGGAGAACCCAGGCCAGCAGAGGGTACAATCTCTGACTCCTCACAGCGGTTATCCGCAACTATGGAAACCTCCTGCTGGAGATGTCTGCGGTGGTCCCCGATGGCATCGTGGCCTTCTTCACCAGCTACCAGTACATGGAGAGCACNCGGCAGCCCAGCTCCAGGTTGAGCTGTTGTTCACCATCTTAGCTGTAGAGGGCGCAGCGTCACTGGCCCTCATGTGGGATCTGAACCAGGGCCCTGCTTCTCAGAACTGGCATCCCAAGCCAACTCTTAACCAACGTGCCACTCGGCTGGCCCTTTTATTGTAGTATCTTGATCTTTTTTCATTTTTGGATTTTTTTAAGTCTTTAAACATTTTAAACATAGTAATTTTGTAGTATCTGTCTGATAATTTTATCGTCTGACGTTTGGGACCATCACCTGTATTCTGTTGTGTCTTCTGGTTCTAACTCATGGTGGATTGCTCCCTTCTGTGTGTTGACATTATGGATTGTGAGGTCGTTTCCAATGGGCTTGACCAAATGAAACTCTATGTAGACTTGTTGAGGGTATGACCCTAAAGAATGATTTTCCTTTGCTTCTGTCCCACTTCTTTATTTCATATACTGCTCCTTGAAGATTTTTTTTTTTAAGATTTTATTGGGGAATTGAGGAAGGGAACCGTGTTGGAGAATTGGGGAAGGGGAATATTGTGTTTCTCCAGGACCCATCAGCTCCAAGTCAAGTTGTTGTCCTTCAATTTTAGATGTGGAGGGTGCAAACTCCGCTCTAAGTCCAGTCACCACCTTCAATCTAGTTGTGGGTGGCGGTGTGGGGGGGGGCGCAGCCCATCATCCCATGCGGGAGTCGAACCGGCAACTTTGTTGTTAAGAGCATGCACTTTCACCAGCTGAGCCATCCGGCCACCTGTTGGCAGCTCAGGGCAGGCGCAGCTCACTGGCCCATGTGGGAATCGAACTGGTGACCCTGTTGCCCAGAGCTTGCACCACCCAGCTGGCCCTCTTTGAAGATTTTTGATAAAACACAAGCACCTGTCTTTTTCTGTTTGTTGTTTGACAAAACATAAAGCTACAGCATTGTCATTGTCTTCGCTGTCCAGTATAATCGCCACCAACCTGATGTGGCTATTTAAATTTACATTAATTAAAATTCAATACAAATTAAGGATTCAATTCCTCAGTCACAGCAGCCACTAATGTCTCTAAGAAGCCCTGTCCTTGCCTTTTCCAGCTTCTAGAAGCTGCCTGCATTCCTTGGCTCATGGCCCCCTTCTGTCTTCAAAGCCAGCACTTGAATTTCTCCCATCTCTTGCTTCCATTGTCACTTTTACTTCTCTGACTCTCCTGCCTCCCTCTTCCACTTATAAGGATCCTTATGATTACATTGACCCCCTCTCCCCAAAAATAATCCAGGATGAACTCCCCATCTCAAAATCCTTAATTTAATCACATTTGCAAAGTCCTTTTTGCCACATAAGGTAGCAAAGGAGACCCAGTGAACAAGGTGACAAGTCCCTGCCCTCAAATTCAAACACTTCCTGGACCTTTGATGATACTAAGCAATGATTAGTACTAGTTTTGAGGGGTGCTAACGATATTTTGTGGTTATGTTTTTCAGAGAGTCTTTACTTTCAGGGGTACCTTCTGAAATACTTGTGGATAAAATGATAGGATGTCTGGTATTTGCTTCAAAATAATTGACTGGTAGGAGGGGAAGTGGTTAGGATGTAGACAAAGCAAGATGGGCCCTGAGCTGAAAATTGATGAAACTTAGTGTATGTGGAGCTTTGTTATACTATACTCTCAACTTTGGTATCCATTTGAAATTGTCCTTAATAGACAGAAATAGGTAAACTGTTTTGCTTTTTTTAGTTTAAATAAATTGAATTTTTAAAAACCACAGAGAATATGGAGTGAGGTGATTTTTTATAATAGTACAAGACAGCTTAAAGAAGAGAATAAAAATCACTAAATTCTAGATAATGGTTATTTCTATATGCATTGAGAGTGAAAAGGGATCAGAAAAAAATGCCCAGAGGAACTTATTTTTATGTGTGATGTTTGATTTTCTTTAAGCATTGTGATATGAACAGTAAACTGAATATACTATTTATATTAAACATTTCTGAAATTTTTTCCAAATTCTACGAAAGTAGAAGTTAGTGAAAAAACATCTCCCATGTATGCATCGTCTTACCTAAAAAATTATCAACTCAAACGATTTGGATTCTATTTCAATGGAATGAATCTGCAGCGGATTCCTGAGAGGTCATCATTTTATCTGTACCGCTTAATAACAAGGATATGATCTGAGAAATTCATCATTAGGAGATTTCATCATTGTGTGAACATCATAGAGTGCACTTAAACAAACCTAGATGGTCCAGCCTACCACACACCTAGCTATGTGGTTAGCCTATTGCTCCTAGGCTACAAGCCTGCATAGTATGTTACTGTACAAAAACATGAGATTAAATCAAGCACAAGAGAAAATGATGCAATCAGTAGACATGGTAAATGAGATGTCTGAGGCTGCTGCTGGCATAACAGCATACTGTTTATTGCATGCTTTAAAAAAAAAAAGACTTTATTGGGGAACAGTGTGTTTTTTCCAGGACCCATCAGCTGCGAGTCAAGCCATTGTCTTCAATCTAGTTGTGGAGGGTGCAGCTCATTGGCCCATGTAGGAATCCAACTGGCAACCTTGGTGTTAGGAGCACCATGCTCTAATCAACTGAGCCAATGCGCCGCCCCCCTTTTTTTTTTAATAAGTAGGAGTACACTATAAAATAATGATAAAACGTAGAGTATAGTAAATGCATAAACCAGTAGCATAATTGTTTATTATCATGATCAAGTATTATGTACTATATAATAATTGTGCTATACAACTGGCAGTACAGTAGGTGTTTATACCAGCATCACCACAAACATGTGAGTAAGGCATTGCTCTATGATGTTAGGATGGTTGCGATATCACTAGTGACAGCAATTTTTCAGCTATATTATAATCTCATGGGACTACCGTCATATATGCAGTAGGTCATTGACCAAAACATGTCACATGACTATATTGGGGTATATTGTGATGTGTATTAGTTTCCTGTTGCTGTTGTAACAAATGACCCCAAACTCAGTGGCTTAAAACAGCACACATTTATGTTTTTACACTTCTGAAGGTCAGAAGTCCAACTCAGTTTCACCGGGCTGAAATCAAGGTGTTTGCAGAGCTTCACACCCTCTGGATCACTAAGGGGGGAATCAGTTTTCTTGCCTTTTCCAGCTTCCACAGCTGCATTCCTTGCATTTCTTGGCTCTGCCCCCTTTCTCTATCTTCCAAGCCTGCAGTGTAGCATCTTGTTTCAGTGTCACATTGCTTCTGCTTCTGTCTAATCTCCCTCTTATAAGGACACTTGTGATTAGTGTTAGGGAGCACTTGGATATCTCAAGATCCTTAACTTCATCACACCTACAAAGTCCCTTTTACCACACAAAGTAACATTCAACATTCACAGGTTCCAGGGATCAGAGCCTGGAGATCTTTGGGGACAATTATTCAACCTACCTAGGGAGTATCGCGATTTAAAGGTGGTCAAAGAAGGCCTCAGAGAAGAAAGGACCTTTGAGGAAGGCTTGAGAAAGGCTTGAAGGAGGAATCCATGCAGAGATCTGTGGAAAGAGCTTCCCAGACAGAGGGAGGGACAACTGCAAAGGTCAGGAGGAGGCAGTAATCAGTCATTCTAAGACTTCTTCCAACCATCCTGCCTCCTGGTATTCACACCCTGGAGTAACCTCTCTCCTTGAGCATGGGCTGCATGTAATGATGTATCCTAAGGAACAGAACACAGCAAAAGTGATGGACTGGGGCCGGCCAAGTGGCACGTTGGTTAAGAGTTGGCTTGGGACACCAGCTCTGAGCAGCAGGGCCCTAGTTCAGATCCCACATGGGGGCCAGTGACACTGCCCTCTACAGCTAAGATGGTGAACAACAGCGCAACCTGGAGCTGGGCTGCTGTGAGTTGCCAGCGATGGCATAGGCTGCAGCCCCTGCTGCAGTGGGCTGCCATAACCTACCGTGTGTGGCTGGCAGCCGGTGTGAGCAGCTGGCAGCCAGTGTGAACTGCCAAGAGCCGCTGTGAGCAGCCGTCCAGAGGCCGGCGACCCATCTGCCTCACCCGGGAAGAGCACAATGATAATACCAACACGGGCCAGTGAAGCAACATCCTCCACAACTAGACTGAAGAACAAAAGGACAGCAACCTGTCTGTACCCTTTCCCCGAATTCCCCAGCGCTGTTCCCCTCCCCCAATTCCCCAATAAAATATTTAAAAAAAAAAGTGATGGACTGTTCCCTCTGACATTAGGTTATAAAAGACAGTAATTTCCATCTTTGCATCTTTCTCTGGCTCTTCTTGCTTTCTCACTTTGATAAAGCCAGCTGCCCTCAGAGATGCCCACGTGCCAGGCATCTGAGGGTGGCTCCCAGCTGACAGCCAGCAAGGAAGCAAATCCTGCCAGCAACCACCTGGTGAGCTTAGTGATGGATAATTTTCCAGTTGAGCTGGGATGACCGAAGCTGCATTCAATTCCCGTCCTACAGAAACAGTGAGATGATAAATGCTATTTTTTCAACCATTACATTTGGAGGTAAGTTGTTATACAGATTAGCTGACTAATGCAGGCCCAGTGCCAGGAAGCCAGGTGTGGCTGGGAGGAATGGATAAGAAAGAGGACCGTGAGATATGATGTGAGGCAGGTGACAGGATGCTTAAGACAGTGCCTGCCCAATAGCAGTGTATGTCCAATAGTCAATTTCATTTTATTCTTGGTTTGAAGATTCCCTCCCTCTTTTTTCTCCCATTCTAACAGAGTAACCCTGGGATCCAGAGAAGGTGCCTGACCCAGCCTGAGAGGTAGGGAGGGCTTCCTGGAGGAGGGGATGTTTCTTTGAGACCTAAAGGTGAGCAGTAGAAGTGAGGCAGGACAAGGTCAGGGAGACGAAGCTGCAGACAAAGAGGACACAACTGGAGGCAAGTAGAAAACAGGAAAATAAGCAGCAAGATGGGGCAGGAATATGCTGTGGGGTGTGCAAACTCCTAAATTGAAAATATCACCATATCTTACTCCCAACCATCTGTCGTAAAGTGTGTTTGCTCTTCCCAGTTTGTTTTCCTTGTACATGATACTGCAAGGAACAATTCTATGTGTGTAGCTGTTCCCACTCAGTGTTCCTTTGGTTAAGGCTCAGGGTTAAGTTGGTGACCTTGTTAACTGGCTCAACACCCACCCCTACCATCACCACCCTTATGAGTTCTAGCCCTCTAGTACTTATTTTCAGAGCCTTTGTCTAACTTGGGAAGTATATTCTCATTTGTATGACTGTATAATAAATGTCATTTGTTAATGTCAGTATCATTATCCCCACTTTAAAGGTGAATAAATTGAGTCTCAGAGAAAAACTTGCCCAAGGCTTTACAGCTAGGTCAGGTGCTGCTTCCCAGACCTGCCAACGCTGGGTTTTCACTGTCTGAGGATAAGTCTGTCTCCCCCACTGGAATGTGCTTTTTAACACACAGTACAGGGTGTGCACAGAACAGGGGCCAGGGAACATATGATGAGTGAACGAATGAATGATTGAGTGAATGCAAGTGAGGCTATTATGAAGAAAGTGACAACCCAGGGCCTAGCACAGGGTCAGGCACACAGTAGATGTCCCATAGCTATTTGTCAAACACATAAAAGCTAGAATTTATTGAATGCTTAGTATGTGCTAAGTCCAGTTTTAACTGCTTTATGTGGGTTAGTTTAAGAGTCATCCACATTGTAGATAATCTAATTGTTCCACTTCACAGGTGAGCAAATGGAACCCCAGAGAAGTTAAGTAATTTGATCAAGGTCACATAGCTAGTAGACAGTGGAGCCAGGATTTGGGCTCAGGCATTCTGGTTCCAGAGTCCACACCTTAACCACCAAAACACAATGCCTTTTGATTACTGCCTCAGACAGTATCTGGTAAACAGTAGGAGCTCAATAAATAAGAGGAGTTATTTAACCCGGAGAAGTCTAGGACACAGCAGGCATTTTTAAAGTGCACGTTTGGGC